AGCTGGGTGATTGGAAAGCCATTTATCAGTTTCAAATGCATGCAACACGTAAACACATCATTACAATTTTAAATTATTTACGACGCAATAAAAATAAATAAATATTACATCACATACCTTGAAAATCACTCTTTTGGCCACAAAACTGCACGAGTTGTCGAATCGGCGATCATAGACTAATAGACTGATAGAAAGATATGCGGACTTTAATATAGTGTGAAGCCGACCAGGTGGCAGCACGTATAGGAGAAATATAAACAAAGTCCTTTGTGCCCCGCCGGTCCTGTGTCCCACTCTCCCCTACATGTCTCCCTCCAGAGAAATAAATTTTACCCACCAAGTTTGTTTATTTTATGCTTTTCATTGATATTTAAGCATTTTATGATATTAAAATGGCCAAACAAGTAATTTTTTACAGTGGCGTGTCGTACAATTCTAAATATTCTATTTATTTTATTAAATTCTAATTTACTTTTGCTTTTTATTTAATAGCAGCAATGTTTATTTGTTGTTTTGTTTTAGATTTCCTGTGGATCCAGCAAAAAAAATATTCAGGCAACGAAAATTGCAAATTGGATGCCTACACCAAATGATAGATTGTGTAAAAACATTTTGAACGACTTTTTTATGGGACGGACTGTAAAAGACGTTTACTAAATGGAGCAGTTCCCACTATATTTCCCGAATTCCCTAAATACATGCAGCCGAAGAATGTGCGTATATAAACATAATGAAACATATACATTTTTTTAATTACTTTTCATTTTTATGCTATGCACTTTTAAGAATTTAGGAACCCTTTTGTGTTTAATTCAAAACATTACCGTAATAATTGATTGTTTGTAGGACTTGAAAAGAAGAGCATTGCATTTGGAAGCTAAGCCAGGTCCTTCAAATGGAACTGCAAATAAGGAATCTATCCTAGAAAGCCCTAGCATAAAACGGCTTAGAAGACAACTTTTACAACAGGTAGAAAAGAATAAAGAACAAACAAGACAAATCAAAGTTCTTAAACAAAAAAGATATAAAAAAAGAGTTGTTTCGCTAAAACTTCTTGTTATTATACCAAATTAGTATTATTTAAAGGTCAGTAATAAATGTATCTTCATTTATGTATAATTTTTCTTACTAGCTTAATAATACCCAGATAGCATACTACATCTTAAAGACATCCAGTTCATGTCTTACTTTCGTTCAAACGTCCTGGTACGTAAAAGAAACGAATTTAAGACATGTTTAAAACGTCTTTTTTGAAATGTTTTTAAGACGTTTTATATATTTCGGTAATGTGGACGTTCAACTCTTTTCACTATAATTGAATATGGTGCCACCGACACTGTTTTTGGTGCTGCATGCAGCGCATGTATGATCATCATTTGTCATTGTCATTGGCTGATTGCATATTCTTGCACGCGCGTGTCGAGTCGTGTTCTTCCTCTGGAAGCATTCTTCTCGGGATAGCCATTCTATTATATAATATTTTTAGCCTCAGTCTGTGGACATTGTCATTACATTTTCGTGGTTGTGTGTTTTTATATATTGTCTTTTTATATTAGTTATTTGCCATTATTGGAACTGTGGTATACCGGAACTAGTAAACTTTATCATTAAAAACGGTAAGAATTTATTTGCCTTTTAATTTCATAACCTCACTTTAATAATGTCTTATTTTTTAGAAAAACATCTTAAAACAATAATTCAATAAAATTATATGCTACGGGGACATTAGTTACAGACGCTTTGGCTAAAATTAATACCATAAAAGAAGTTTTTAAATAGACCAAACTGGAAAAAAGTAGGATTTCCGGGAAGAGTTTATCATAGCAACAATTACTTAAACTCATTTTCTAATTATTTTATCCTGTAAAATAATATTTCCTCTATGTGTCAGTTTTAATAGTTTATTGATGTATAATAAGCAGTAATAAATATAGTAGACAAGTATTCATTAATTTCCATCAAGTAAATAGACGGCTTAAACACGTCCAATACGGTTTGTCTTAAAGACGTACAAAACTGGATGTCTTAATGACTACAAAATTGGGTGTCCTAAAGACGCCTTGTTTTGTAACAATGTACGTCCTATAGACGCCTTTAAAACATCATTTGGATACTAGCGTACATCTTCAAAAAGTCACGAACATCGTGATAATTTAAGATGTCTTTAAAACGTGTATGTGCTATTTGTGTAGTGTCATTCTTTATTAATTAAAATTAAATCTTTTTGTAATACATATAGACCATTGTTTTATTTTGCGAAATTTATTATGTAAACGATTTCATTCAGTTTATTTAATATATTTTTTTCATGTGTCTTATTTATTATTACTTATTTATTTGAAATTTTCCGCTTTGAACTTGCTTTATACCTAAAAAGATCAATACAGTACTACTAACATAAATACAAGTTTGTTTTTTTTTTATTTCCAACATGTTACGCCTTTTGGCGAATATCGTTGGTGTCAGAATGGAACAAGATTTTCAGCAGAGTTATGAGTCCTCTCTTTATTACCTAGTCTAAGTTACTGGGTCAATTCGAATGGAATAAACAGAATTCAACTTAAACTATTATTTATCTGTTATTTACAATTAAAAATATGCGCAGTATCATTGTCAACAGGACCTAAACCTACATCTTTATAAATACTGGTCAGAATTGAATGGAGCAAACTGTATTCAACGTGAACTGTTACGTAGATTTGTAGACGTCTTTTACAATAATATATGATTACACAGTCTACTTCGTTTCATCAAGTTCATTGAAGACGACTCGAAGACGAAGTTGGAGGTAAAGGATTGCTTAGAAATGGTTGAATATATTGAATTTGAAATATTATTTTTCTTTGTAACAGAATGTTGATAGCATACACCCGGAATTTCTAATTAACAAAGTAGATAAAAAATAAAAATAACGGTTGTAATAAGTATTACGACGTTGACATATCTACATAAGTTAGTAAAAATTTCTTAAATCTAGGGAAAAAAAATATACGTTAGGTTTTTCCAAAGATGTTATTCTCTAACGACTTTGCTTACGCTCTAAAAAAATATATGTCAAATATCAAGAAGATTTGATAATATTTAGGAGTTGAACACATTGATCACTTTTATCATAAACTGGTCAAATTTCTAATATTGACTTGTTTTGTACTAGTGATCTTTGATCTTTACATGTATTTCTTTCATCTTTTACAGATTATTGAGCTTTAAAATGGGAACCAAAAGAGGAACTTAGTTGCTAGAATAGGTGCCTAGTGGTAAGTATTTAGGAGCTCGGCTCCCTTCAAAGGAACAAGTATTATTAGTTTTTATTTACCATCATAAGGATAAGAAAGAAACACTTTAGAAAGCTGCTAAATCTACCAGTACTAATCTGCAGGAAGTGTGGAGGAAAGCAGGTATCCCTGTAAAGACAGAGGAGAATATACGCGCTGGTATACAGAAGCTACACACAGAATTCCAAAATCTAGGTAAAGAGAAATCTAGAAACACCGATAAAGCTAACATGAGATTTGGAAAGGTGATCTTGTCGAGTTATTTGACATTTCCCGGCAAAATGTGATGGAAATGACAATCTTATCGGAAGAAGATAAATCATTTCTTAGATCACAAAGAGAAGACCGAATGAGTTCATCAATGACTGGAGTAGACAAGGTTTTCATAATAAGAACTAAATGTACGAAAGAAGACAGAAATGATTCATATAAGAATAAACATTACATAGCTATAGCTCAAATGAATAAGACAGTAATACTGGAAGACTCATCTTCATCATCATCCGCACTTAGTGACGAAGAAGACGAATTTTTGCCTCCAGCAAAGAAAAAATTACGTTCAAGTCCTAGATTAAAACCTTTGGATTAAACACTCACGTCTGCTTGGAATCGAGGACAACTCTCTATTAGGCAAGCAAGTACCTCTTTTATAGCAACAACAAAGAGCCTTGGCCACGATATTTCAAAAATGTTCGTATCTCCATTCACCGTTTACCGAGCTCGGGTGGTCAATAGAAGAAAAATGGAAAGGAAAATCGAGGAGACGCTTTTTGAAAGTCCTCCTCCTTTGGTCTTGCATTGGGATAGTAAATTGTTGCCCTTAGTGGCCCATGGGAATATCAAAACTTTGGAAGATAGAGTTACAGTTCTAGTGACGCAAAGATTTTGATCATTTGCTTGGAGTACCTGTTGCCCAGAAAGGCACCGGTTAGCAGATGGCTGAAGTAGTTATTCGGGAAGTGCACCGATTTGGGCTAAGTGACAATATCATCGGTATGTCTTTCGATACTACATCGTCTAATACAGGACTGATACAAGGGGCATGTACCAGAATTGAAAGGGAATTTGGACGAACAATATTGTAGTTGGCTTGCCGTCATCACACTCATGAACTAATATTAAAAAGAGTGTTTGAGGAGTGTTGTAACATATCATCAAGTGATCCTGACATCCAGATCTTTCGAAAGTTTTAAAATATGTGGGCTTCATCTAAATAAAATTCATATATGACAATGTTGGATGAGGAACGTCCCGTTCAAGGCTTTATAAAAGAACAACGAGTAAATATAATTACTTACAAAATGTCCTAAAAGACAAAAGTCACCCAAGAGAAGACTACAAAGAGTTAATACAACTATCACTTTTGTACCTAGGAGGTTGGTCTCAAGACGAATTCAGTTTCAGGATCCCAGGAGCTCTGCATCAAGCAAGGTGGATAGCAAAAGCAATTTATGCACTTAATTGTTCTCTTCACTAAACAGTTGAATATGCATCAACGATAATTAAAAGGAATAAAAAGGGTTACACATTTTGTCAGCCTCATATAATAATATGTTCGCTTTTGGCATGAAGCAATTGTAAGTCGATGGGCTCCAAAAAATTATTTGGGTATACTGCAGCTTCTGCATATTTACCCAGATATAGACGTCAAAAAAAGTGCTCTTACTGTTGCTAAGAGACACCTGTGGTATCTGTTAGAAACAAACGTAGGATTAGCTTTTTTGGATGAACGTATTAGTCAGATTGAAAAGGAAAATACATTTAGTAATTAAACCTCCAAATAAAAAGGAAATGAAACAATTAGACGGTAAAAACTTAGTTTTTGAAGGAAAAGACCTGAGCCATTTCATCACTAGTAAAACAAAAATAATCTTTGAATTGTTTGGAATCCATAACGTGACAGAATATTGTAGTGATTCTCTAAGAAGTCAAGTGGACGCTCTTGAGGTAGTGAATGATACTGCAGAAAGAGGAATTGCTCTAATAAAGAAATTTAACGAATCGGTCAGAGATGAACAACAAAAACAATTTTTGCTGAGGGTAGTGGAGTATCATAAAAAAAATAATCACCAAGCGAACTAGACAAGGGATTGCATCGTTTAAAGTTGAAGAATATAAAACATGTTTTTCCTATTAGCTAATAATCTTAATAATATTACCTAATAATCTTAATGTGTAGTTTTAAGTCTGAGATTTATAGTTTTAACAATAAAAGTAATTAACATTGAAAAGTCGTATTGCATACTTTTTCAAAACTGGTCAAAGTGTACTGACACAAAGTCTGCAAACATTTTACATTTAAATTTTTTATTTACAAAATGAAACATCCTAATATACGTACTAGTCAAATAGCGTTTTAAATTCGTTATTAAAATTTTTAAATAGTACCATAATATTATTATTTTGTTACTAACAATATGGGATTAAGAGATCGGTGATAATATGAACGTGAACTGTAACTATCATTAAATAGATATGACGTGGCAGGTAATGTGACAGGTGATGTAACGCTAGACGCTATATAAATCAAATCAAATAAAGGTACTAAAATAAAGTTATCGCCTTTTGGATGAATAAATATGGTTTACCTTTATCCAAATAAATATGTATTGAACAAAAAAAATCGACTTTTAAAACACCCAGTATTTATAAAAACGTTTTAAATAAAATCCGTTAAATCGTAATATCGGCCGTAATAGCAAACATATTTTTTGAGTTCAAATGAACTGTCTTGGAGAAATATCACCAATTGTTAGGCATACTGTAATTATTAATTTATGACTGTCAGTTGGAATTTATTTGCGACTTAATTTCAGATAAAACAATGGGTCTGCGATAAATTAAAACAATCAATGAAAATCTGTTTAAGCTTCTAATTAAATTCCTTGACAATTTTATCAATTGTGTTATTGTGATTTGGAATTAAGATCGCAATTACATCTGTTCTTGATATTGAAACTATTCAAAAACATATATTTTTAGGTGATTTTCAGACATAAAATATCTCTTTATCTGTCTAGACTTTAAACAGTGACGTAACCATAAATTAATAAAATGAACAATGTCTAGGTTTTAATAACCCCAACATTAATCCAAATACTAACCTAAACACTAACGCAAACACTTTTTGTAAAAGAGCTCACAATACACAAATGACACCGTGGCTTCTCTGGCATCAAAAATGGCGTCCGACCGATAAATCATCGCCATCCTATGCGCCGGTCTGCAATAGTCTTCATCTGTCGATGAGTATTGTAACGTGTGTTCACAGACCGCCCTCCTAAGCCAAAAAGGGGTACCTATCTCAGTTGATGCGAGTTTCGAGAAAAAATAATTAAGGACCGCTGGATTAAATTAAATTATTTTTCTAATTTTGACATATAATATCACTTTTTTTGGAATTGTAGCAGGTGTCAAAATAATATACTTTACGTAACCAGTTGCATAACGTTGAACATTATGAAACTGGTTTCGAAATAGCTATTTATGAAAACAGTTGCGAAATGCAATATTTTATGTAACGAGTGAATATTTTCGGAACGAGCAGAGCGAGGACCTGCAACATGAACGAGTTACATTAAACGGCATTTCGTAACGTGTTACATAAAATATTTTTTTAATTTTGACCAAAATTGTATTTTGGTTAAACATTACTGACATTGAAGCAGCTGATATTACTTTCTTGTATTTTAAGTTGCATATGTATCATTTTATTGACAGAACCACTTCCAGTCTGTTTATTTTGTTTATTAAAGTTATTTCGTTTTCAAAAAAGTGTTTTTGTGGTGTATTGTGGTTTAATTGTTTTGTGCTGATTTGGACTGTAAAATAAGGACCGATGCAACATTATTAATAGGTTGTAAGTTTAACCAAATTCTATTGATATAAGTCAACCTGCCTTTGTTTGAGATAAACTGTAATAATAATGTATATTATTGATTTTAAAACAAAAAAGGTTTATTTTAATTTCTTTTCTTTTCGCAACTGGTAAAGTGATGAATTTTTCGAAAGCAGTTTCATAATGTTCAACATTATGCAACTGGTTGCGTAAAGTAGATCATTTTGACACTTGCGATTATAAAAAAATGTTACTTTATATGTCAAAATTAGAAAAACTTTATTATGTCACCAGTTGCGATGAGAAAATTAATAATATACATTATTATTGAAAGTTTATATTTAAAAATTAGGTTAAACTAACAACCTAGTAATAATGTTGTTTTTTGGCCCTTATTTTCCATTTTAAATCAGGACAAAATAATTAAAACACAATACAAGACAAATTAACTAGTGATCAGCAAAGCAAGACCAAGACGAAGACCGGGTTGGGCTTGATCTTGGTCTTGCACACTTGATCTTGGTCTTGGTCTTGCAGAGCTAGGTCTTGGTCTTGCTGCAACAGTCTTGCGAGTCTTATATTTTTTGGTAAATCTTAAATACTGCTACTTTGTTCACAAAAAACGTGTTGTTGTTCTGTGAGTTATAGTATTTTACAACATTTTCCAGCACCGAAAAGAGTTTTTATGATATCACCTAAGTGTTCTCTATTTGTAGTTAATATTGAAACACACTGTATAAATTATTGCCATTAGACGCTAAATGCACATTATAAAATCAGAAACTACTACGCAAACAGTAAATATATTATAAATGTATCAATTAGTAATTTTTATATGCTGTACACTTGAATACGAAAACAGAATAAAAGCTTAATTTTTTCGAAACGTAGTATATAAAAAAACGGCAAATAAAATATGTGGCTCAATTCCCAACAATTGGATATTTAGTTATATTTAATATATTTTGTGTATTCTTTTATTTGAAATATTTTTTTTTGCATATCCAACAATCCAATAAAAAACAAAAATTGTATCCTTAAATCAACAAGTAATAATATTAATTCATAAGAACAATTCAAATATTATTCTGTTTAAATTCATGCCTGTTATGTTAAGACTAAATAATTCCTCATAATTTTTAATAATATTATTATAATTTTCTTGTATTTAATTTTTTATAATAATAAAATTGAGACACGATAAAACATAAAACGAACCGAGACGAGACAAGACGTGTCTCTTGTTTCGAAAAAATATATCTCGAAATTTCGAGACGAAACGGTATAAGGTCCTATCTATCGTCTCGTGTCAACTCTAGTTAAACGCAGTAAGAAAGTATATATAAATGATTTTTTAAATGACGTTTAAATTATAACATTTCGCAACCTAGCTTTATGCAATCCACGGCTGGCGAATATCTCGCATTAAACAAACAAACGGCTTTAAATGTATATTTATTAATTTACACATTTATAAAGACACACCCTGTATATCGAAAATCAAGGTTTTTCGAGACGAATGTTTATATACTTACCTATTATTTTTAGGCAACAATTAAAGAACGCAATGCTGCAAGAGTCTTGGTTTTGCGTAAGTCTTGCACCACTTGGTCTTGGTCTTGCACACTCGGTCTTGGTCTTGGTTTTGCAAGCTTTCAGCTGGTCTTGGTCTTGCAAAAAAGCAAGACCAAGACCAAGATCGCAAGACCAAGACCAGTCTCGCTCATCACTAAAATTATCCCATTTTTTTTTGAAAATCAAAGAACTTTAATAAGCCATATAAACAAAGTACAAGTCGTTGAGAATAAACAATTATTATTTTGTCCTATTTGTCAATAAAATGATGCATATACAACTAACAATACAAGAAAGTAGTAATATTAGTTCATGTTGCGGGACCTCGCTCTGCTCTGCTAAAATAAGTCATTTTGTAACTGGTTTCATGAATAGCTATTTTGTTTTTTAATATTATTTTTAAAGTTCTTATGTCGAATATGGATGTGCAGCTATTTAGCTTAGTAATAATGGTATACCCTTAAGCCTTTTAGTACATGCAAGTGAAGTTGAGATATCTAAATGTGTCATGTTTTTTTTTAATGTTCTGAGTGAAATTATGCTATTTTTTTTAGAACACCTGATGAGGAATTTTTCAAGCTATCCGAAGCGATAAAAAATATGTTCTTTTTTAGGTACCGCTTTTTGGCTTAGGAGGGCAGAGTAGAGGGCATATCACTTCTTTACAGTTTAGAGGACCTGCAAAGTTGCTTGATAAATTTTTCTATTCTTCTTAGTGCAAGATATATCTAAAACTTTATATTTAATGGAATTAGAACAAAATACAGATTTATTTTGATTTAAAACATAATGTTCAATTTTTTCACTATCTAATTCAGTCGACATTTCTACAACTCTTATTTTTGGTTTTATTCCAACCACATCCTTGATTTCATATTTTTCCATTAGGTTAGAACCAGCAAGATTTTTTAATGTGGAAACTCCAGATTCAGAAGAGCAACCAATAACTAATCCCCCATCTCTAATATTCTAAACACTGGAGATCTGAATATTGGATTTAAAATATCTGCTTTGGTGACAGAATTACTTTGAGAAGAATCTTTCGGCTTGATTATAACTGCAGAGCTACTTTTAATATTAATAAAGTAATCTATACAAAAAGTTATTCTTGCAGACTGACATAATACAGTATTGGATGTATTTAGTAAAATTGTATTTTTGTTGATAAATAAGTCTGTAAAAGTGAATTCCAGATGCTTACCAAACAATTTTAGTACATAAAAATCACTAGACGTGAAGAGAATTATGGTTTTGAAAATTATTCCGAACTCCCTTTTATTAACTCCAATCCACAAAGATAGCCTCTAGCTACAGCGGCTTTTTTGTTGATTGGGTTGGTATCTTATTTTCAGTGCGCATCAGGTGGCGTGTAAGGCCTCTTCTCTATTTATATTCCATTCAATTACTTTATTCTGATCGAATTGCCTGCAAACGTTTATTCCCAATACCCAATACACCTGCTTGATAAATTGTTTCACTATTTGTAAAGAGCAATATCCATTAAATCGTTTCGTTTGTAAAAGTTACGTTAAGATAATACGGAACATGTTTCGCTTTTACTCTATTCTATGAGCGTATCAGGGCCAGTGGTTGGTCGACAATTGATTGATAATAACTGAAAGGAAACTAAAGACGTAAAAGTATTTTTTTTATAAAGCCATATTACGTT